GGGGTTTACCCGGTGGGAATACTCCGATGCTTAAGCTAGTATTGTGTATGGGAATTAAAGAGAAAACGAAGGCTAAGAGTGCAGGTCACACTTTATCACTATATTCGAGCGATTAGAGGTTTTTTCAGAAGACCTTTCTCCTCTGCCCTGAGGGCTTTTATAGGGGCGCTCTTGTGAGATCAGGTATAACCGTCACTGGGCCCCTGCCATAGCCGTTACCTGCCAGGGCTGCGCAGGTGGTCGTTGTGACGTACTCTTTGCCCGGGGAAGTGACACGTCTCCAAAGTGACAGGCACGCCTCCGTCTGTTGAGAGATGTGAGCGCAGACTGTCGAAAGGACAGGGGCTGTGCCGTCAATTAGGGACGAGGCGTAGTCTGACTAGTACAGTCTGTTAAATAGAAGCTTCCTGAGGAATGCTCGTGCGGCCCATTCGCGAGCTACTTTGCAGCGAGCTTGGAATACTTCAGGAGTACCCTTAGTAGAATTAGTCCTTGGGACGACTTGTCTGTTTGAGAGCTCGGGCGAGCTGGTTTTCTTAGCTCACAAGTTAAAGTTGCCTCGGAATATCCTTTTCGAGATAGCTCGGGGAACCCGAAGTTCGCGTTGTGGCGAGCCCCTCCTTTAGCGCGCTACGATGTAGCGAGCCGCTTTATGGGCCCATTAATTAATTGTACTGGACCACAATGCTGAGTTGTTGCTTATGCGGAGTCAGTGTCCACATGTCGCCGTTTCATAGGTTGAGTCAAATCATCCTTCATCAATTTTTAACTTGATTATTATGTTATAATTATTTTTCTACCCTTAAGAAATTTTTTAAATTTGTTACATAATTTCATTATTTTAACTATTTAAAATCTAGTTATGTTAAATATTTCTTTAGTTCAAATATTCAGTAATTTAATTTTTTTAATAATATATAAAGTATTTAAAATTTTTTGTTATTTGAATTTTATTTATTTTAAAGTTATTACATAATTTTAAATATTTTGTTATATATTATTTAGTTACTTTTAATATTTTATTATTTAAGATGTTTAGTTATTGAATTATTTAAAAAATATTTTATTTTTAAATGCTAAAATTTTTATTATTTAAATTGAATAATCTGGAAAACCATAATTTATATTGTTAGTACATAATTTCGTTATGAATCTTTTAAAAATATAATAATATGAATATTAGTAAATCTATTATGATTATTTTTTTGTATTTAATAAATATCTTAAAGTTATTATATAGTTTCGTTAGAATACTTAAATAATTTTTAAATTTTTTATTTAAACTTTAAATAGAGATAATTTAGGAGAAAGTGGGGTATAGTTGGGGAGGTTGTTTAGGAGAAATTTTAGGAGATGATATTATTTAGGTTATTGGGAACTTGGGGGGGGGGGGAGAGAGAGAGAGATTTTAGGTATTTTTTTATGGGGAAGGAGAGCGTCTCATTGGTTGTTTAAAAATGGCATGGAATAAAAAATAAAAAATTCAAAAAAAATGAGAAAATTTCCAGATTACTGTGTTTTAGTGTGTGTGTGTGTGTGTGTGTATACTAGTGGGGATCCATGCAATGCATGCGTTTTATTTAGAAAAAGCTAAACAATAGAAATACATAAGAGTATATAATTGTTTTATATTTCCGGTTGACTTTGGTTCAACAATTTTCCAACCCGACTAAGTTACGTCAATTTCAATTTGGCCATTTGTAAATCGAACAAAACTGAACCAACCCGACCATAGATATATATTAATATTTTATATTTTAAATATAATTTTTTAATACAGAAAAGTGGTAATATTCTCATATTTCTAAGTATAAAATATTTTATATCATAAATTTAATTTTTTAAATTTATTTTTTAATAATACTATTGTAATTTATTAAATTTAAATTTAATTTTTAAGTTTAAATCTTTTGAACAAGCATACCAAACCGAAAACATACCCAAATCGATACAACCCAAGTTGGTGGGTTTTCACTAATGGTCAGTCAGTTTCGAGTGACAAACTCCTGACCTGACTAAGTCGATTTGGTTGGAGAAATATCATGCAACCAAATTGAACCAATGCTTGAATACTTTTAATTTCAGCTAAATTAATAGTCTAATCTCTAATAAATAACAATAGTTTAGTCTCCAATATTTATTGAAAACTTATAGCAAAAAGATACAATTATCGAAAAGAAATTTATAATGAAAATACAATAGATATATCTAAAAAAAACAAAGTAATTACAAAATACAATAAATACAGAAAATATATTAAATTAGTTAATAAATAGTTAAATCCCTAATAAATATTAATCAATAAACTATACAAAATACATAATTACTAAAAATATATTTATAACAAAAATACAAAAAATTAAATTCTAAAAGTTAAATAATAGTTGTTTAATCTTCAATAATTATTGATAATTTTCTTTCAAATAACAAAACAAAAATAGATTTATAAATAATTACTGAAAATATATTTATCAAAAAATACAATAAATAATGATTGAAAATACGATAAATATTAACTTTATTATATATAATATATAATGAATATACACAATTATTTTAAAATTATTACTAATAAGTATTATTTTTTTGAAAGTTATTTTTTGTAATTTTTAATTGATATAAGTGAAATTAGTTATTTACAATATTATTTAGTTACTTAAATAATGTTGTTATTTAAATTTTTAAAATACTAATTATTTATTGAATTTAATAATCCATAAAATCATAATTATTACTATTGTTACATTATTCTTTATTAATTTTTTAAAATATTAAATTATTATTAATATGAATATTATGAAATCTATTATAATTATATTTCTACTTTTAATAAATTTATAAAAATTATGACATAATTTCGTTATTTTCACTATTTAAAATTTAGTCATGTTAAATATTTCATTATTTAAATATTTAAATAATATGTAAAATATTTAAAGTTTTTCATTATTTGAATTTTGTTTATTTTCATGTTATTACATTATATTAAATATTTTTATATAATTATTTAGTTATCTTTAATATTTTGTTATTTAAGGTATTTAGTTATTGAAATATTTAAATAATGTTTTATTTTTTAATGTTAAATTTTTATTATTTGAATAACATTTAAATTGAATAATTCATAAAATTATAATTTATATTGTTACTACGTAATTTTATGATGAATTTTGTAAAAAAATAGAATTATTAATAATATGAATATTATCAAATCTATTATAATTAATTTTTATGTTTTGAATAAATATTTTATAGTTAATATATAATTTTGTTATAATATTTAAATAGTTCTAAATTTTTTTAATTGAAACTTTCTTTACATGGATTTAGATAAAAATTGGGGTGGGGGGGGGATAAATAGGAATTAGTGATAGTTTAGGAGAAAATCTCTAGGAGATAAATAGGAATTAGAGTATGAAATCTACTAATTGACAAAATTGCGTATTTTGTTTGCAAAAGACCTTCAATAAAAAATAGTAGCTTTGGGATTTGCGAGCTAGTGACTTCATTGAACTAGTGACCATTCATGTAAGGGGATTGGTCCATTAGGGAACAAGGTTCACCCACTGATCAGGGAAAACCCGTCCTTTTCAAGGTGGGGTGGGGGCCGTGGGGAGGCCCTAGTTGCACAGGAAAAATTGCCATCCCTAAAACACTTGCGACCTATGAAGAATAGATATGTCATTATTCCAAGCAGGATTACCTGCAAACTCCTCCTCTCTACTAACCCACTTAACCTGTCCAACCTCCCAACAAAGGTCCAACAGAGGTTAACCCTTCGTTAACTATTACATTTTTAAAGCTAAATTATTTTTTATACTTTAATCTTTTGGGAAAATAGATTCCTATTTTTCAGTTACCCACAATACAAGATATTCTTCTTCCCCATTGGAAGGTAGTATACCAGATTCGACGAATAAAGCTTAACAGGAGCCCATTGTGAAAACAATCACCATGTATAGAGCTGTTGATTCTGTTGTCGTGAATAGAGTTGTTGTGTATAGAGCTGTTGTCTCTGTTGCCGTGAAAATTGTTGTTATAGAAACAGGGCTCTGCCTCATCGTGAAAATAGTCGCTGTAACCAGAGATGTTGACTTTGTTGCCATGAAAACAAAGTCTCTACCCAATCTTGAAAACAATCACCGTGTACGGAGTTCTTGGCTCTATGGCCTTGAAAACATCCATCATGATAACAAGGGCTTTGCCCCCTTGTGAAAAGAGTCTCAATGTATAGAGCTCTATTGCCGTGAAAATGGCCACTGTGAAAACAATCACTGTATGTAGAGTTGCGGATCCATTTATAATTGTCAAAATTATAATTCAGTATTCGATGGATTCATGTCAAGAATCAAGATATGTGCTAGACGCCCAAATCCACAATCCCAAAAGAATACTTTTTAGATTGTCTAATCACTTAATTGTGCCATAAAAGAAAATTTAGAGTAAGATTGATCTTATTGCTTCTAAAAATGGAAACAAAATGTTTCATTCGCTTATCTAGAATTGTGAAAAGGACTCACTTTGTTTGCATAGAAAGGAATAAGCTCTCTCTCCTTGTTCATCGGATCTGTTACGCTTTATTCGCCGGATATGGTATATTGGTTTCCAATAAGGAAGAAGAATGTCTGGTGTCGTGTGTAACTGAAAAGTAGGGATCTATTTTTCCAAAAGATTAAAGCATAAAAAATAATTTAATTTTTAAAAATTAATAGTTAACAGTTGGACAAGTTAAATGTATTGATAGGCCTGATCATTAAATAGGTTAGTAGAGAGGAGAGGAGGAAGAGGTGAGCAGAAAATCCGGCTTGCCATTATACATGAACACTGACGTATTCACTCGTGATAGGTTGCCAGTCCTCTATGCATGGTTTTTCCCAGCCTACTCAAATAAAATAAAAAGAGAAAAACAATATTTAGAGACTTTGGTCAATTCCTACCCACTCCATTATAAGCTTGCTAAGGAAGTAACAAGGAAATTTACAAATGAATTATCAGGTCAATTTGCTTGGCTCCCAAGTACCGTTTCTATGATGCTATCTACTAATTTACAAATTTATTAAGAGTAGCTTTGCTCTATAAATGGATGGAATTGGCTTTCTTCCTTTCTTTAAGAGCACATAGAGAGTACAGAGCAATCTCAGTGGATCATACAGTCATACCGATCTACAGAGACGAGAAAATAAGACAAAGATAAAATATTAAACTAAAAATGAAAGAAACCATAGTTCTGTACCCAACACCAGCTATGGGCCATCTGGTCTCGATTGTGGAGCTAAGCAAACTAATCCTCCACCACTATCCTCACCAATTTTCCGTCACAATCCTTCTCACCACCGGACTTCTAGATACACCGGCCACCACCTCCTACACCAACCGTATTTCTCAAACCCACCCTTCCATCGTCTTCCACCGCTTCCCACCACTCTGCAACCCTCCCTCCCTCGAGCCAACTCCTAATTACAGTCTTACAGCCATTGCCTTCGAATTCATCCGTCTTAACAACCCTAACGTTCTCCAGGCTCTCCAAACAATCTCAGAAACCTCCATTATTCGAGCTTTCATCATCGACTTCTTCTGCACCTCCGCCCTCCATGTTGCCTCTAATCTCAGCATCCCCACTTACTACTTCTTCACATCTGGCGCTGCTGCTCTCGCTGCCTTCCTCTACTTTCCAACCATCCATGCCCAGACAACCCAGAGCTTCAAAGGCCTCGCTACTACTGACCTCCACTTCCCAGGCCTACCACCGATCCGTGCTTCTCGCTTGCCGGAACCCGTACTCGACCGAGCCGACAAGGCCTACCTTGACTTCTTGTACTTCACAGCCCATCTCCCCAAAGCAAAAGGAATCATAGTCAACACTTTTGAGCTTCTAGAGCCAACAGCCATCAAAGCAGTCACTAGTGGGCTCTGCGTCCCGGACGCTCCGACCCCACCGGTTTATTATATCGGACCGTTGATTGCCGACCCTGATGATCGAACTGGGGAGGGTGGACATGCTGGTGCACACGAGTGCTTATCGTGGCTCGACACCCAGCCGAGTCAAAGCGTCGTGTTCTTGTGTTTTGGCAGCCAAGGTACCTTCTCTGTGGCACAGATGAAGGAGATAGCTAGTGGGTTGGAGAAGAGCGGCCAGAGGTTCTTGTGGGTGGTGCGAAGTCCGCCAGTGGAGGACCACATCAAACACTTCTTTGAACCAGAGAACCCAGACTTGGATCTTCTACTGCCAGAAGGATTTTTGGCTCGGATCAAAGGTCGAGGCCTTGTGGTAAAGTCGTGGGCACCGCAAGTGGAAGTGCTTAATCATGACTCTGTGGGAGGATTCGTGACTCATTGCGGGTGGAACTCGGTTTTGGAAGCCGTCTGTGCTGGCGTTCCGATGGTGGCGTGGCCTCTCTATGCCGAGCAACATATGAACAAGGCTGTGCTGGTGGAGGATTTGAAGCTAGCCATGCCGATCGAGCAATCGGAAGATGGGTTCGTAAGCTCGGCCGAGGTCGAGACACGTCTGAGAGCGTTGATGGCGTCGAGCGAAGGGAAAGAGAGCAGACAACGGAGTCGGGAGATGAAGGAGAAGGCTTGGGTCGCGTGGTCTGATGGGGGTTCGTCTCTTGTTGCCTTTTCGAAGTTGACTGAAATATGGAGACAAGGATGAAAGAAAATCGAACGGATCAGATGCTCCTGCTAGTGATTAGATGTTCCATCTCATAACAATAAGATGTTATTTTGGGATTTTAGTGGTGAATGTAGGGAAACTTATCCTGTGTGTGTATCATTGTTCTATATATACTTCCAGGGCCCATAATTGGCTTATAGTTGATTTGCTGACGATGTGGTGATCCGTGATCATTGTTGTTAATCTGAACCATCCAAAACGTGGCCCACCTTGTGGATATCAAGGAATCAAGATTGATGAGAACCCTCGCCAAATAAGCAAGTATATAGGAACCTTTCACGAAGAGAGTTTTGTTTCCTAGTTTCAATTTATACATCCCACCATATGATAAGGGGAATCTTCAGGCAGCTCCCCCTCAGAAATAGAAATCTCGATTGAGGACGTATGGAAATCGAAATTAATGCTATCCCATTCAATAAATCCGAAATTTGTTTCCGCTCGCCGTTAGTCACTAGATCACCGGAGCATCGAAGCTAATTTCTCAGAATTGTTTTTTCTCCGGAGCTTCATCTCCCTCGTCTTCTTTCTCATTTTCGAACCTAGGACATCCTCGCCGTTTCTCAGAACCGTTAATCACCAGATCACCGGAGCTCTACAGAAAGCGTCTTCTCATCGTCTTTTTCCTCACACCGAATCACCGGAGCTAATTTCTCAGAGCTGTTTACTGAGCCTCGTCCCAGTCACGTTAAGGCACTGCCGCCAGGAGATGCTGCAAATCATCCTGAAGATAGCCCTCTCCTCACCCGTAGCCGGCGGGTTAGGGTTGTGTCAGCTCATGAGCCTCGTATTGTGGATGAGGTTCCTAACTTGATAGGGATAAAGGGAAACGTCCTGCGGAGGAGATGGGGGAGAGCAGTCACCCCCAGCTGTGAAAAAGGCAATGGGTAGTGTCACCTGTGCGATTAATAGAGCATATTGCTATAGATGTGGTTGGCATTCCTCAATGTGTGAGGACTTCAGCAGGAAGGGTAAGTAGGGGTCTCCGCACAATCCATCCTCCATGTGCGCCAAGTGAGGAAGGTGCGGTTTCGGCCGTTGATGCTTCAGAATGCCTTCAGTCGGCGAGGGTGGCTACAATGGTTTCTCCTGGGCTCGAGACGCATAGGCAGGGCAGTGAGCCTGTAAAGAAGATTGCTGCCGGCGCACGAGAGAGAGGCGTTAAAATTCCCGATTTGGTAAGTCCTTTGGTTTGTATTTGTTTGGTTTGCCGATTTGTGTATACATCACTGCCAATGTGTTTGTGTATTTCATTTCAGTCTTTTGTTTTGAGGAAGGTGGAAGCAGAGGATGACTTTGGTCCCCGATTTCCGGACGGGCACATTAGTTGTGATGAGGTATCATTACTGTCTTGTTTGCGTGGTATCAATTGGTGATGCTAAACTTTGTCTATTGTTTTTAGGTTTCGTATGAATAATAACATATAAGAGCAATTTTTGGGTTTAAAAAAAATAAAAAATAGGTTAATCTTTTAAAAAATAATATCAATAAAGGGCAAAAACATTGTTCATCTTCTTCTTTTTGCCATTTGTTCATCAGAGTCGCCGCTCCGCCACCACCGTCACCTTTGCCTCTGCCTCTGGCAATGTTGCCAGAGGTATAGGTGGCAGCAGCGGCGCTGGTGGTTTTTTTGTCCAATGTTGCCACCTCCGCCTCCGCCTTCGGCAACATTGCCGGAGATGGGTGGAGATAGAGGTGGTGACGGCGGCGGAGAGAGGAATGACCACCAGCGCCGCCGCCACCACCTCTACCTCCGGCCACCTTCGGCAATGTTGCCGGAGGCAGAGGCGGCGAACGGCAATGGTGGGTGGTGGCAGCAGCGAACGACGGCTCTGATGAATAAATGCCAAGAAAAAAAAGATGAACAGTATTTTTGCACTTTATTGATATTATTTTTAAAAAGTTAACCTATTTTTAAATATATTATTTTTATTGATATTAAACCCCACAAATTGCCCTTATATGCTAGAAACCCAACAAAAAAGGCTGTCGCAGCTACGGAAGAGACGCGCATAACTTGTTGAGATGGAGGAGCAGAGGGCGAAGGTGGAGGCGATTTTTGAAATGCGGGACGAGTGGTTTAGTCTTAGCTGATCAGATCTACTATGTTGTTCATTCATTTTTGTTATTTTCTGTATTGTGAATTGCCATTGTACATCCTGCTTAGTAGAAACAAAGGCATTGCTTCCTATAAGGTCTATTCTATTCCTATTCGTCACTTGATTTTTGTCGCCTTATTTGATTTGGCGAGATGTGGATGGATTCTTGTTAATTTGATGGCGTTGTCACATTTTGATGAGGGGTGTCCCCCTTTATTTTATTGCATCCTAATGATTGGTGGTGGGGTGTATTAGTAGGAAGCTCTGCAGCCTTTGAAGTTTGAATCATGGCCCCTTTATTTTAGTGCCTCTGTTTTCAAATAAACATCGCAGGGGCTTTCTTGTGTAAGATTTTCTGTACAACAACCCATCTTGTAGGTAGAACCTTTTGATTCTGGTCAGGAGTTTCTTCCTAGATGGGGGATTCAAAAGCAGGGTTCCATCTCTGAGGTATTTTATGTATACCTCTCTCCAATCTATTGTTCCCACAGTGAAGCACTCATTGTCTGTATTTGGGATACACATTTCACAATCATGTTGTACCTTGGCTGTGTCCTTTTTCATCTCAAAGAAGTTGTTATGTCACCATAGTATGCCTCATGGGCTTCTTGTAATACTATCACAACTTCTGTTGGTCCTAGGCATCTTACTCTGACTCCATTTGTCATCTTACGGTATAGTACCTCATTCACCAATTGGTATCGCAGTAGTACCTTATGGTCATGTGTTGTGAAGGTAGGTTTTTTAGCTTTTCTACTATTTCTAGCCTTTAGTCATCTGCTCCTACTATATCTTTGTACTTGATCCAATGTGCCAGCTTTTCTGTCAAGGGTTTGCCTTGCATTTGGATGGTTATGGCGATAGGTTCTTCGCTTGATTGTATTTTTGAGCCTCAGGTAGTTAAGGCATTTGCGTATCTATTTTTCACTTTGTTCTGGTGTTCATAGCTTACATTTAGATCTTTTGTCAAATTTTGGATCAGTGTCCTATATGGTAGTATTAATACTTCTTTCACGGTGGTTTATCCTCCCATCTGGCTGATAACAAGCTTAGAATCCCTTATCACCTTTACATTCCTTGTTCTAGAGTCTCTTGCAACCACCAACCCTAAGGTGAGAGCTTCATACTCTGCGATGTTATGGGAACAGGGGAACTGTAATTTAAATGAGTATGTTGCGGTTTGTCTAGTTGGGGGAAGCTAAAGTGACTCCCACCCCTGCTGAATAATTGGTACAACTACCATTGAATGTGAGGATACATTCGGCATTTTCTACTCTTGCGATGAAGGGGATTTCTCCGGGTATCTCGTCGAAAATGTGGAACTCGTCGTTGGAAGGGAAAGATGATAATAGGTCAACTACTACTTGGCATTTGATAGCCTTCGGTTGTGTATATTCAATGTTGTACTCGCTCAGTTGCATCATCCACTTGACTAATCTTCCTGATAGTTGAGGTCTATCGATGAAGTAACGGATTGGGTCATTTTTCACTATTTGTGCTTTCGCTTTCAATATAGGAATTCTACTTCCTGTTCGAGTCGTAATAGCTCTTGTCCTGGACTTTTTAGTACCACCTTCTGCCCTAGTATGTAGTGTCTGAACTTTTGGGTGGCGAAGACTAACGCTAGGCATTGCTGCTCCATGTGGGAGTAATTCTTTTCTGCTGGTTTAGGCATCCTACTAGCATAGTAAATGGGGCATTCTTGTTTCTCTTCGTTTTCTTAGGCTAACAGACATCCCACAACTTTTGAGTTGGATACAATGTAGAGCCTGAATTCATGGCCATTTCTTGGGGGAGACATGTTTGGTGCTTGCACTAGGGCTTGCTGGTGTTGCAATGACCACTTGAATGCAATAGATTTATTTATCAGTTTCAGGAATGGGGGTGCGACGGGTGCTAAACCTAGGATAAACCTTCTGAGATAGGACACTTTTCCTAAAAATGTTTTGAATTGGGACTCATTGCTTGGGGGAGGGAGGTTGAGAACCGCCTTCACTTTCCCTTCGTACGGTTGAATACTGGTCTAGTTAACTCTGTACACTAAGAATTTTACCAATTGAACTCCGAATGCACATTTTAAAGGGTTCAGTTTCAAGTTGAAGGCTTTACACTACATGAATACTTTCCTCAGCACTTTTGTATGATCCTCTCTTTTCTTCACCTTTACCACAATGTCATCCACATAGCACTCAATTTCTTTGTGCACCATATCATGAAAAACACTCGTCATGGCCCTCTAGTCACTGGCTCTAGCATTTATTAGACCGAAAGGCATCATCTTGTAATAGAAGTTCCCTATGGGTGTTTTGAATGTTGTGTATGGGGCATCTATAGGATCCATGTATGTTGTAGCCACTATACGTGTCTAAGAAAGAGAAGACTTCGTTCCTGGTTGTAGCATCTATGAGGATCTCCATGTTAGGCTAAGGGAATTCATCCTTTGGGTAGGCCTTATTCAAATCTTGTAAATCAACACAACACTTGAAGTTTAATGAAAAAAGGGTTACATGTTGGGTATGTGTAAGCTAGCTGGCTGGGGATGGTCAGAGGTACTAACCTTAGTTGACCGTTATTCTTCTTGATTGGTTTTATGAAGCCTACTTTCAAGAGTCACTCTACCTCCTCTTTAATTTTTAGGGCCACTTTAGGCTTGAAGACACGCTAAGGTTGTTTCACTGGCTTGACTTTGGGGTCGATGTACAATGAGTGCTTGACTAGTGCTAAGTCCAACCCTGGCATCTGGTTGAATCACCAAGCGGGGACATCTTGGAACTCTATCAACTATAGATTAAGTTTTAGCATGGTGTCTAATAATGTCTATATTTTTGTTGTCGGAGTAAGGGTTTAATACCTTTCAATAATTCAATCAGTTTCATTGTATATTCTTGATGTAGCTTGGTTGAGATGTATAGTGGTCTACTGACCACCTTTCCACCTTTCCAGTGGCCATGTCGATCTCTTCTAGTGGTTCTTCCAACGTGGTATTCGAATCTTGCATGTGTTAAGGAAGTGTATGGATTTCATCAAAGTATTCAATGGTTTCTTTGGGTTCGCCCTACCGAAGTGACTACCTTAGTTCATGATTATAGTTATCGCATTATATATGTTTCTCATTAAATTGTGTACCTTGTGCATTGCTTGTAGTTGTTGAGGTGGTGTGTTTTCTTGTAGTGATGTGAGTATTGCAGTGTCATTATGAGGTAGCACTTGGAGTGTGTTATTAACAAAATGTTTCTGATAGGGCATAAGAGAATTCATGGCATGCTTATTGATAAATAGGTAATTATAGCAGTCACATATTATTCAGAAGAGAAATATAACAAAACGATCATACCTTCATGGTGGATTTCTTTGTGATGTGGATATCTCCTTCTTCATACTCTTCAATGATTGTGTAGTAACTCTTCATAGTATCATCTCTCATTTGTACGCATCAAGACTATTTCATTCGTTCCATCACCACCTGAGCCTTACTCGCTTGTCTTGGTAGTTGCAATGTTTCCACCTTTGTGACTCATGTCTCTCCGTCCTTAGCAAGTTCTGTGTAATAAATTACATCCTGTAGGTGGACTTCTAACCTTTCAAATGGGACACAGGTGGCCGGAATTCTGATAGTCCTTCCTTTGTGCTTGCTTTTATGCACTAATGGTAGGTGGATGGGACTAGTGCCAAGTTGTGTTTTAGTGATCACCCAATGAGGGCATGGTAGGTGGTTTTCCTTGAAATTACATGCAATTTTGTGGCATGTTCTTTGAAAATGTAAGTGAGTCAACTTTTCGAAACGTAGGACATAGGTCAGGAGGTTTTTTCTAGTGCATTGTTCTGTATTCCGGAGGTGAGCCATCATCATCCTTCACTCGAGAGTGAGCCACTTGGACAAGAACTTCTTCGTTATATCCGCCTAAGAGTCTATACCCCTGGCTATCAAGTTGACAAACCAGGAATAGGCCTGGCCGATTAGTGACTTGGAAAATTCCCGGACTTTCAAATTGTCGTCTAAGGTGAACACACCCAAGGCGTCTTTGAATTTGTTCACATGTTCCTATGGGCTTCCTTTCTTTCCATTTTATAAAGGCCACTGCTACGGTGGCACGTAGCCAATAGGGTAAAGCTTGTATAGAATACGGTTGGAGTACGGTTTTTGGAACGTGAGCATGGGTTAAGTCTTGTTATGGCTTTCCTCTAACAAGCCTTGAACATATTCCCTGATTTCCATTCGTCTAACCGGTGCCTTGGCCACTACATTACTCTGTGTTGTTGTATAGGCCTGCTCAGCAGTAGAGTGATGTGTTTTCTGGGCCATATCAGTCATAAACGAGTAGTTAACTCCTAATGGGGGTTGCTTAGGGGCTCGTCAGCCAGAAGGTATCGATGTAGAAGGGCTAGTAGGAGTGAACAGGAGTGCTCTAGCGTGGTCACCTTTGACAACAACAACTGCAGGGTGCTTCTCATCTCAGCTTGCATTTTTCCAGTTGATTGAAGTAGGTTTTAAAGCTATAGACCTTGTGGGACAAGATTTCAATGTCCACTTGGTCGTTTGCCTCCTGAGGGATTTAGTCTTCTACCTTTGCATCAGTATTCTCGAGGTCGTTGTATTGTTCCTCAGGGATAGGCAAGAGGTTGATCCTATAGGCGGCCATTCTTCGTGATCAAGGAATACAACCAGAGATTTTATTGTAAGTGTGGTGGTAAGTCTAGATGGGGTGGTCTCCTTGAAGGATGAAGATGGATTAGGGTCGAAGGCCAAGAGGGAAACAATGGGCAAGCTTCTACTTCTGGAAAAATCTTAGCAATGTCAGGTAGTAAGGGTGGTTGAAGAGAATGTCCCCCAAGTCATACTTTACATCCTCCTTTTATAAGGGAGACCCCAAGACTTTAAGGAGAAGGATTTCAAAAAGGGTTTGATTCCTATTAGGAAAGGGAATCATTGTCTTTATGTTGGTTATTAAAGGAACGCCATTGGGGTTTCACCATGTGTACAACGAGATCCTCTAGGGACAAAGTTCCCTTTGCCTTGAGGATTCTCGCCTAGCACTTGCAGACTACATCCCAACATGGGTTTCCCCATGGCCATGTGGCAAGGGACGAGGTTTGGGTCTATCTGGTGTGCTCGGGTTCT